CTTGGATTTCAGAATTATATGGTCCAGTGTCTGCTCACGGATTGACGCAGTGGCTGCAACAATGGACTCAAACATAGCAACAATTGTGAGGACAGCGCAGGACCAGGCAGTGTTTCATTCTGTTGTACGTAGGGTCACTATGAATAAGAACTGACTCAACGGCACCTAACAACAACAACATACTTATGTACCTTCCAGTCCAAACTCCTTCTTCTCCTCCTTCCCCTACTCCCTGCCTTATGAAGTGGGAGAGTTTATTGCTGTTATCCTGTCCCAGTTTCATTGTTAAATGTTGGGGGAAGGGCAATAAGGAGGGCTCATAATTTGTCTTTTTAGTTTACAGGTCTGTGAATCAACAGATGATGTACGGTGGAACCAAACCCATGAAGCCTTGTCTGCATCTGGACTTAATTTAGATGACATAATCCTGGACTTTGGTGAGTAGATGAAACGTTGGGGTCTTGAGAGTGGCTAAGTGCAGTTTGCTTGTAGGACAGACGTCAATTATAGTAGCCAGAGGGAAGATTGCTAGATTGTTATATAATGGCCTTGATGAATCATGACTTCATGTCTTCCATGCCCCTTTACAATGTGATATTACTGATGAACAGACTTCCTTTGACCAATAGAATGTGTTGGAAATGAATTTGTTTGAGAACCAGAGCCTAGATCTTAAGGGGCCTCATGGCTTCTACCATCACCTTCACAGAAACTGCTTTGAGACTAACAGGCATGTGAAGAAGCCTGTAAGGAAAGACTATACCCAGCCATCCCAGCTGTTGCAGCTGAGTCCAGGCCACAGCCCATCTGCCAGCTGAATGCACCTGCATAGGTAAGCCCAAGTGAGACTGACAGAATAACCACTCAATCAACCTACTGGATCACAAGAAATAATAAATCATGTTGTTGTAAGTCACTGGTTTTTGGTGTGATTTGTTACTCAACAGTAGATAACTGGAACACTAACTTAAGTACAGTACATTTCTTACTAGCTCGGATATTATCTGTTTATATAGCACCTTTTATTCCAACATACATGCATTATGTCATCTCATAAATAGAGCAAAGTATCACAATTATAAAAATGCCTTTGATTGGTGAATATTGACATTTAGTGAGCAACCATAAAATACAATATTCTTTTTAAACTAGAATGAAATGATACTCATCTAATAGAAGTTTTTCGGCTTTCTGTGAAACTCAACGTTGCTGCAAATATAATCTCAGTATACCTACCACCTTTTTAAATATTGCCAGAAGAGTATTTCTCATTAGCTCTGGTCACTCTCAAATGAATTCTGAACTAATAGAGAATCCATATAATGATGTCATGGATTGAATTGTGTCCCTAAAAAATATGTGTCAACTTGGTTAGGGCACGATGCCCAGTATTGTGTGGTTGTCCTCCATTTTGTGATTGATATAATTTTCCCATGTGGTGTAAATCCTAATCTCTGCCTGTGGTTAATGAGGCAAGATTAGATTATGTTTAAAAGTATTAGGGTGGGATATAAAACCCTTACCCAGGTTACATCCTTGATCCAATGTAAAGGGAATTTTCCCTTGGGTGTGGCCTGCACCACTTTTTATCTCTCAAGAGATAAAATGAAAGGGAAGCAAGCAGAGAGACGGGGACCTCATACCACCAAGAAAGCAGCACTGGGAGCACAGCACGTCCTTTGGACCCAGAGTTCCTGTGCCTGAGAAGTTCCTCGACCAGGGGAAGATTGATAACAAGGACCTTCGTCTAGAGCCAACAGAGAGAGAAAGCCTTCCCCTGGAGCTGGTGCCCCAAATGTGGACTGCTAGCCTAATAGACTGTGAGAGAATAAACTTCTGTTTGTTAAAGCTATCCACTTTCGGTTTTTCTGTTGTAGCAGCACTACATGACTAAGACAAATTGGAAAAGAAAAATAAAAAAAACCTTTTCTACTGAACATGATGTGGGCAATATAGAAACCCTAGCTGTAGAGATATACTGGAACAATAAGAACACTGGTCAGTCAGATGGCAAAACTGTCATCATCAAATGTTGAGAATTGCTCCTAACTTTTTCTTGTTAAACAATTTGTTTTAGTAAGGTTCTGGGACTGTGGAGAATATATTCACTCACTCATTTCTTTCTTTGGTAAATATTGAGTACCTACTATGTGCCAGGCGCTGTGCTAGATACCAGAGATATAATACTGAATAAGACATGGTTTCTAACCTCACAAAATCAGTTGGGGGTGGAGGGTGGGTTATGGGAAGGAAACAAACTGTTACAAAAGAGTGTGGCAAGTGATAGAAAACCCACTGCTATCGCGTCTATTCTGACTCATAACAACCCTATAGGACACAGTAGAACTGCCCCATAGGGTTTCCAAAGCTATAAATCTTTACAGAAGGGAAACAGACTGCTACATCTTTCTCCCGAGGAGCAATTGGTGGGTTCCAACCTCTGTCCTTTCGGTTAGCAGCGGAGCGCTTAACCACCGCCCCACCAGGGCTCCTCCAAGTGATATGATAGGACACTATAGTAAGAGGATTTTGGTGACTCTTCTTAAAAAGTTTTCTTGAACGCAATAGTCCCCAGACTGCAATTGTAAGAACAAAGCCGTTCATTTTGTAAATGATAGGCACTTTGGGAGGGAGGGCTACATCTTGACTCCTCCCCTTCCAGGTTCCTTCAAAAAACCAAACCATCAAGTTGATTCTGGCTCATAGTGACCTTATAGGACAGAGCAGAACTGCCCCATTTGGTTTCTAAGGAATGGTGTGTGGTTTCGAACTGCCGATCTTTTGGTTAGCAGCTGAACTCTTAACCACTGCACCAGTAAATGTCCTTGGATTATATTATATGGGTATCCTTATGTTGTATTGTATCCTGATGCTACTGATCCACAAAAGGCTGCCACAGAATAGAAAACATCATTCTTTGATTTCCCCTTGGGATTCCTAGCTGGTGCCTAAGTGGATTTTCTGGAAGAAAGAGTACTGTGTGTCTTCAGAGAGCAAAACCAAGACCCTGCTTAATGTAATGTGCAAAGTAGTTTCAAATGTCTAAAGTCTGTTTTTACTCATGCCGCTTTAAAGCTACAGCTAGGACTACCAGCTTCGTCTTCAGTTTCTTTTCTGACTGTGTGATCTTTCAGGCATCTTGAGGACAGGGACCATGCCCTATTTTTCTCTGTAGATCCAGTAAGTGCAATAAATGTTTGTTGAATGTATCAAAGACTCATTGCAGGAAAATTATAATTGGAGACCATTACTTTTTCCTATAGCATTGTTATCTGGGCATGTTCAAAATTTGATTTGTTTGTGTATTTATGCAAATCACTTCCTAGGATAATATGGCAAGCCATCAAAAAATAAAATAAAAATATACACAGAAAGCAAGAAATGCACTTACATTTTTTTACTCTCATTTACATGTAAAAGTTTATTTTAAAATGTTAATTATCACAAGAAAATTGTTTTTAATTGTCCTACGTTATTTTGAAACTTCATTACTGTACAGGCAGTCTGGATTACGAATGACTTCTGTTCCTAAGTCCGTCATTAAAAGTCAAATTATGGTAAATCGGGACAGTTAGTTACAGTTGGTATCTGTCAGTTAGTCAAATGTTTGTCTCAGTATATAGTACACAGTGTACCTTTCTATGCATCAAGAAAAAAAAAAAAAAAAGAAAGAAACACTTCCAGATACACTGAAACATCTTTAACACAATGTCTGTGGTGGTAGCCAGGCACTATCTAGTTCTTCTGTGCTGAGGCTGGTGGAAGCTCTGGTACATGTGGTTCTTTAGTCCTTTGGGCTAATATTTTCCTTGTGTCTTTGGTTTTCTTCATTCTCCTTTGCTCTGGACAGGATGGGACCAGTAGATGTATCTCAGATGGCTGCTCGCAAGCTTTTAAGACCCTAGATGCTACTCACCAAAGTAGGATGTAGAACATTTTCTTTATGAACTATTAACCTAAAAGTCCCCTGTGACTGTGGTTCCCAGCCCTCAGCCCCAGCAACTCAGTCCATCAAGGTGTTTGGATGTGTCTAGGAAGCTTGTGTGACTATATTGTGTGTTGTCTTTCCCTTCATCAAAGTTGACACTTGTCTACTAGTGATTTCCCCTTCCCGTCCCTCCCCACTAATAATAATGTTTGATGTGAGTCACAGAGTAGCACCCGTTTGTTATTAGGAACTAATGTATGTACCAAAAAAATTTAATATAATAGGCTTTGGGTGGGGGGTGTTGGTTAGTTGTACTGAGTTGTACATAAGTCTGACATTCATAACCTGGGGACTGCCTGTATATGTAAGATAGCAACCTATTCTGTAAAATCAGATTTAGAGAAATCAGACACTATGCATGGTTTTAATAAGGTACTTATTACTAGAGTGCCGAACGGGTATTAAAAAAAGCAATAAGAAAAAGCAGGGTATGCCAACTCATGCAAAAATTCATGCTTCCTCTTAGACAAGAGATGTTGAAAAACGATTTCATAACAAAAGAAGAACCCCTCAAGAAGGAATTGACCCCTAGAAATAAACTTTCTTCATATAATTGCTTCAAAGTTTGACCTCAAAGAGTCCCTCTTCCTACCCAGAGGGGCTAAAGTTGATATCTGTGTTTACGCTAATCAAGTCACAGGCCTTTTCTCTTACCCCTTTTCAGGTTGCCCTTTCCCCTCCTCTTCCTTAATTAAGAAAATGCAAAATACGAAAGGAAAAGAATCGTATCACCCCCTCCCCATCTACTCCGCCCGTTTTTTTTTTTTTTTTTTTTTGGGTTACTTCGCACCTTCTTTTCCCTCTGTTTCCCAATCAGTCCTAATCTGTTCCTTTTCTCTCGTCAGGCTTGGCTCCTGCTCCTCCCTTACTTCCCCTCCTCTTCTCCCAGTCTCTTTCTTTCTTTCTTTCTTCTCTCCGCCTCCCCTAGTCATGCTTCCCAGCGCGCTTCCCCTCCCCCGCCTCCAGTTCCCGCATCTTCCCATCCCCCAGCCTCCTGCCTTGTGACACATCCCGGGCCCTCTTGGAGGCGGCAGCAGCAGCAGCGGCAGCAGCAGCAACATTAGTCGCCACCTCCACCAAAGCCGCAACCCCGGCTCAGCCTCCCTCTGGCCTCGCTGCTGCTGCAGTCATGGCTGCTGATGGGGTGGACGAACGCTCGCCCCTGCTGTCAGCATCTCACTCGGGAAATGTCACTCCCACGGCCCCACCGTACTTACAAGAAAGCAGCCCCAGAGGTAAGGCCAGCCTAGACCTTTCCACTTTGCAAGGAAAAGTCTAGAATCTTAAAGACCAGGGATGCGCAAGCTCAGAGGTGGAGGCGACAATCTCACTTGGGCTGGGGGAGAGGGAATGCTGACTGCCTTCTGAAGGAGAGCCTTCTTGCCTAATAGCTTCACCGCAGGGCTTTTCTCTCTCTCTGTGTATTGTGTGTGTGTTGTGTATGTATTGTGTGATGTGTGTGTGTGTGTTTCATTACTTCTTGACCAGGGGTAAAGGATGTGACGTTAATTTCCCAAGCTAGGCTTTGCTCCTCTTTTTAGAGCAACCTCTAAGCACAGCTGGGAGGTGGTGCAAATCTTTCACAGTCATTCACAAATCCTTTCGGGTTCCTGAGAAACTGGTAGTATTGCTCACCTTGGTATCTGTCCTTGAAAGGGCTTCAGCTTGAAAAATATGCGTCTCCTAACGTTCACCCACCAGTGCTCTGTTCAATCAGGGAAGTACTTTATTTACCACAATGAATTTAGTTAATTAACATTCCTATTATGTGTGAAATTCCTACCTTTCCTTATTGCTCCTATTTGTAGGGAGTATGTGTTGGCTTTAGTTATGAAGGACGAGGAAGAATCTAACTTTTGGTAAAGGGGAAGATGGGATATTTTTGATGTGTATCCAGGTGAGGTTGAAATGAACTTCTAAAAAGTAATCCAAAATAATATAGCATATATTTCTATTTATTTTTCCTCTCAGGATAGAATTAAGACAGATTTGATGGCATTGGGGTCTAGAGAAAGAAATGGTAATCTATTTAACAAACTGTTCAATCTATTCAAAGATCTATCTTTGTTCTAAGCCTTTTAGTTGATTTCTATAGTAGAAATAAGGAGGGGTTAGGAGTTATAGAAAATGGAGGGCAAGACTTTAAGAAACCACTTAAGGGTAGTGAAAAACCAAAAAACCAAACCAGTTGCCATTGGGTCGATTCCACCTCATAGTGACCCTATAGGATAGAGTAGAATTGCCCCATAGGGTTTCCCAAGGAGTAGCTGGTTGATTGAAACTGCAGACCTTTTGGTTAGCAGCCAAACACTTAACCACTGCTCCACAAGGGCCCCAGGTAGGGTAGTAAAAGTGTTGGTCACATATGGCCCTTGCAAATGTAGCTTTAAGTACATCTCTCTCCTTTTTGGCTGGTTGTGAAGAAAGTTTAAAAACCCAAGGAGACAAAAAGTTAATGCTTTTGAAAATATGAGCAGGTCATGTTTCTTGTAACAAAACTTTTTCTGACTTCAAGTCTGGAATTGGAGCAGCTGAGAGCAGATTGAACTTGTATTTAAAATTCCCATTCAACACATTATAACTTGAAAAGCAGCAATCTAGATCTTTATCCACACTTAAAAAGAAGCAGGAAAAGGAAAAAAAAAAATGTTTAGCTGTGAATAATTCAGTGTGATGGATGAGTATGAAATAAGGTGCAAAATGGAACCGAGACTCACTTACAGAAAACCCGTAAGTCATGTTGGTTGTTCAACACTGAACTTGTGTTAGAGGACTCCAAATGGAGGAATTTCCTTTAATGGAAAATTTGATATTAATATTTAACTGTTATCTAAGTTATATTGTCTAGAATAGGTTTAAATATTCATCAATGAATGTTTCAACTTGATCAAGTCACTCTTTTAAGACAAAATATTTGACAATTTATTAAGAGAGTTTAGATATAAATCACTGTCCTATAGCCTGTCCTTTGTCTTTGATTCTTTCTGTTGTTGTCATTGTATTTTTAGTCAACTAGTAGCTAAATTATTCCAAAAAATGGTCACACTCATTGACTTGATTGTATCATTTACCATACATTTGTTGAAGCTGGTAAGATTCCTCAAACTATACAATAAGGTACAAGTTACAGTTCATCCATGGAGGAAAAGTAGTTTCATTCTAGAAAAATTTTAGCAACCATAGAAATTTAATGATTTAGCAAAAAGCTCATTCTGCCTTAAAGTAAAATAGAATTTATCCTAACTGCTGAGATTAGATAATCAGGAAGGTGAATTTCATATGGTATATTACCTACTAAGTAAGACCTATAAATGAGAAGTATAAATACTGGACAGGTATTTTGCATTTGGACAGAACATCTTTTCATAATAAATAACAAATAAGCATCTTCATAAAGTTTATTTTTTTATACTATTTCATATTGGTCAAATCAAAATAGTCTTGGTTCATACCCAAGATCTAACTCTAGAAGACCAGCGCTCTTCATTCATTTAGTAATTTATTGTACACCACAATGTGCCAGGTGCTACTCTAGATGAACAAATTGACCAAACTCATGCTTTTGTGGAGCAGATGTTGTTGGGGGGGTGGGGGAGGAAGGGAGAGAAAGTAAATATATGACTCAATTATTTCAGATAGTAAGAGAAATTCTGTCACTAGACCAGATGTTTTTAGTAGTTGAAAGCAATTTGAGTTGAATGTTGAGACTGAAAAGAATAGAAATAGAATTCACTTTTTGACAATGAACTTTGGTTTATGATACCATTTATAATTACTCAGACTTTTTTTTTAAAAAAGGAAGAGCCGTAACTAGGGAATATTTTCTCCAGTCCAACCTTTGCTATTTGTATCAACATCTAAGAACAGGAATGTGAGCTCCCGTCCCAAAATAAAATATTCAATTTCAGGTTGAAAGTTAGTGGAATGTTTTTTTCTAGACAGGTTATTAATTAATTTAGTGGGAATCAGTATTGTTAGCAATAGTTGTTGTTATCGGGTGTCATCGAGTCAGCCCCCAACTCATGTGACCCTAAGCACAACAGGGTCATACCATTATGATCCATAAGGTTTTCATTGGTTGATTTTTCAAAGTGTTTACCAGCCCTTTCTTCCTAGTCTTAGTGTAGAAGCTCTATTGAAATCTGTTCAACATCACTGCAGTACTCAAGCCTCCAGTGACAGATGGGCAGTGACTGCACTTGCAGTGCATTGACTGGGAATGGAACCCGAGTCTCTCCCTTATGAAAGGGGAGAATTCTACCATTGAGCTACCACTGCCTCCCTAGCAATATTTAGCATCTGGTTTTAGCACAAGGAGAGTCATGTGTGGTCTGTGTAACAATCAGCCTGGGTTTTTAAGTGGAATACTTCTAGTAGTCTCTACTGTCAGTACTGGTCTGTAATTACAATGCTCCATTTGGCACACTTGTCAGCTTCTGCTAAGGCGTAGAAATTGAAATAAACGACACTTTTAGGCCCATTTTAAAGGAGATTGGAAAAAATACCACAACACTTACATAATTTGGATGTATTTGATTGATTTATACATTTGCTAGTTTTATAGGTAGAATGTAGCAAAAGAATGACCTCTAAATTTATGAGATTTTATCTGTGAAAAATGGTTTATACTTTGGATCCTTTAATTGTCTATGTATTAAATATAAGAATGTATTTTGAGATTATATACTTCATTATAATTCATAAAGGGAAAAAAGTCATTTGTTATAAGGAGGCAGATAATTTGATTTACTTAGTTTCTTTCATTCATTCAGCCACGCTCTGTGGTAGGAGGGTACAAACCAACATGACTCCTCTTTCAGTCTAGTGGAGGAACTAGACATATAAATCAAATAATCACACAAACGAATGCAAAATGCAGTGGGGATGAGGACAGTGCTGGAAGTGTATCCAGTGACATGAAAATATATAGTGGGAAGATTTAATGTGGTTGGCGAAGTCAGAGAAAGCTTTCCTGAAGGAATGAGGCTTGATTGAGGTCTGAAAGTTGAACAGGCATGAACTTGGCAAAGGGGAGGATTGGAAGAACATTCTAGGCAAAGAAAACAGTATACTTCCATTAGCAGGATAGAGTATGACAGGTACAAGGAACCAAAAGAAGGTCAATGTGGCTAAAGCAGAAACAGCAATAGGAACAATAGGGAAAGTGCTGGAAAATGGGATTGAAGAGGTAGTATGGTTGATAGTCTCCAAAGGTCAACCCCCTTCACTAACAATACTTTCTGATATTCAAGTCCTTAAGTACTTCCTCCTTCTCCTTTGAATCTGGGCTGACCCAATGACTTGGTTTTGACCTGTAGAATAAGGTAGAAGAGATGCTGAATGACTTTTAAGGCCAGGTCAGAAGAGATCTTGCAACTTCTCACTTGATCTCTTGTAAAGTGCACTCTGGAGAACATCACTTGCCATGTAAGAAGCTGAATATCTGAGATTGCCATGCTTTGAGGAACCTCAAATGAGCCACGTGGAGAGACTACATGGAGAGAGAGATGCTCAGACATGTGAGTTAAAAAGCCATCTTGGCTGTCCAGCCCAGTTGAACCTTCAGATCGCTCTAGCCCTAACCAACTTCTTATTGGAACTGCATAAGAGACTCTAAGTCAAAACCACCCAGCTGAAGCTGGTCAATTCACAGAATCATAAGAGATAATATTAAATTGTTGTTTTAAGCCACTACATTTTGGGGTGATTTGTCATGTGGCAACAGATGACCAGAAGGATAGCTTTGAGTCAGTCCATTGTTGGTCACATTAAGGAATTTTGCCTTAAGCAAAGGTATAACTTTATTAGATATGTGTTATATATATATATATATACATCACTCTATTTATGGATCAGAATGATTGAAGGGGAGGCTAGAGTGGATGAGGATAGATGACTTGAGTAGCTGCTGTAATAATTCAGGTAAATCTGGTGACCTATGATGGTAGCTTGGACTCAGGTGGTAGAGGAGATGGAAAGAAATGAGATGATGTTAAGCAGGTAAATTTAACAGGGCATGGTCATGGGAGTGAGAGGGAGGTGGCAAGGATATCTCCTTAGAATTCTAGCTTGCACAACTAAATGATATGATTGCCTACAATGAGATACAGAACAGCAGAAGATGACCAAGTTTTGGGGAACACAGATGATTAGCTTAGTTTTAGATATGATACATTTAAGATGCTTTTCAGCTATACAAGAAGAGATGTGAGATAGACAAGTTGATCTACAATGG